CATACGGAGTATTTTAGATTGGAATATTTGAAGTATCTTCGTATTTGAAGGTTTGCTCCTGCCCCATATTTCTATTACATATGCCCAAACTGATGTAAGCATACCTAATGTACATAAGTGAATGCATAGTTAGAGTAAGAAGGTATCATTGTTGGTTAAAACGTCTGCTGTTAATATCGGATCCAGAAATGGGCCCAGAACGCTACCCTAAGGTATGCCAAATTGTATGATATGGTATTTTGAGCAGCTGTCTTTAATTTTGACTTAAAAATATCGGTCAGTAAGACACAATTTTTTGTAAAGTAAAGTTGGTCGATTAGGTGTAAGTTTAGATTGTAGAGGGGACCTTTATGCGATACTCTATTAAATGTCTGTTGTATATCTAGAATAACTTTAGCTCCAAACATTTTTTCTTGGAGAGTTGTTTTAATTATTTTTACTATTCGGTGGTATTATCGGATGGTCGAGTGTTCACGTCTAAATCCGCTTTGGTGTTGTGGTATAATGTCGTTTATGAGAACAACTTGCTTGATTTTATGTAATAGTGGAATTTCTAATACTTTCGACATTATTGGGAGTATTCTTATAGAACAATATGAATTTGCTTGTGTTGTGGGCTTACTTTACGGAATCATAGTCAACTTAAAATAAAGTTCCATTGTATTGGAAAGTAACGAAGACATAGACTTTTTGATAATACTGTTATCAACACCACTGCTTTTTTCGGTAGCTTTTGCAGTAATTCTCTTGTTATCAAATCATAGCCAGGCGCTTTCTTAGGATTTAACAATTTTTATTTGTTGTTGGACCTCTGTCGTAGTAAATATTGTCAGAGGAAGAGATACGTGACATGGAGTTTTGAGGTACATTCTTATATCATCATCTTTATCGTTATTAGTATCTGGTACGGCGAATACACTTCAAAGATGCTCTGCGAATACTGATGTTTCTTCTGCGTTTGTGCGTGTCCAGGTCACATCTGTTTTTCTTAAAGGTAAATTTCTTATTGTCGGTCTTTTATTTTTTTGTAGCTTTCCATATAAAGTGATCTTCATGTGAGAGGTTCGAGACATAAAACTGGAAAGAGTCGTTTTTTGTTTATGTAATGCTATATTTAGTCTATGAGATCCTGTTAAGATGCAAGTTCTTAAGTTATAATTAATTTCATATAATCAAATGAACTATCTTATAATAAATCTGCCATCTTCTTTAAAATGCATAATATATATATATATATATATATATATATATATATATATAAATATATATATATATATATATATATATATATAAATAATATATATATATATATATATATATATATATATAATATATATATATATATATATATATATATAATATAATATATATATATATATATATATATATATATATATATATATATATATATATATATATATATATATATATATATATATATATATCTGAATTTTAAATATGAATGAGGCAGAAAAATTATCCGTGTCAATTACTCGTATTATATCAGGATAAACAAAAACAAAACTTGATTAATTTGTAGTTTGAGAACGATTTCCTCAAAGACTCAAAAATAAACAAATTGTCAATAAAATTTGTGGCTAATTTTTAGTGAAGATAGTAAACTGATATTCTATATTTTAATTTCCTCTATAATAAGCTCAAAATATACAAACATTAAACATAATTGTGGCTAACGACCATTTCTCCTTTTTTATTCTACTTTGACACGGTAATAATTTTTAAATGATTACTACAAAAATATTATAATATATTAAAAATAAAACGTCCTCATAAAATAAAATGCATACAATTGGCAATTCCAGAAAAAAATTAAAATTCGCCAAACATACTAAAAATTCGAATTAAACATTCAGCTTTAGCTGTTTTTTATATTGTTCAGTTTTTATATCTTTGTACTTTATAATCCCGACTTTATAGAAACATAAAATTTTTGAAACAGCGCTCTTGACCAATGCACCATTATTCAGCAGACGAGCCTTTATCTCTTATGGTTTGGTGAATAAACGTAGCCGCGTTATCTTTTCCCTCTTTTTTATCCCTATTATTACTACATTCTCTTTCATTCTTTTAAATTAAAGCCCAAATATTCCAGCGCCAGGTCGTTGACTCGTGACTGTTGAGCTGACCCCTCTGGTACGGTTAATTCGCCCCCAGATGAACCAAACAAAATTAATTAAGCCACCAATTGTTTAGAGAATTAGTTGCTAATTATAGCCCGTCTTTTATGGCAGCCGCTTGATGAGTTTCGTTTGAAGTAGGGGTTAAGACCTTTAACGTACTTTTTAACGATCTAAAGCAAAAAATCCTACCAACAGAAACATCTAAAAGTCGTATTTTCACACTTTTAATTTTATTTATGCGTTTGTTTCTAGCACAATAGTAAAGGGCTACTAACTTTAACAATATAGTAATTTAAGGAATATGCATTTGTAACTTGATTTGCATGATTATGTACAATATACATAATTTATAAGTACACAATTATATTGTCTAAATATAATAGAAAATAAGTAATAACACCTACAATTAAAGTATTATGGCATGCACGGAGCCATCCAGTGACGGACCCCGTTTTTAAACTTAAATTTCAGCATTGACTATTTAATACCAAATACATTGAACTATGAGCTTACAATATAATTCAATCTAGGCCGTTATTAGAACACTTAGAATGTTCAATTAGAAAATATATTATTGGCAGTTTATTAAGTTTGCAGGTTTGCAGGTTGAATGGACTCTAATTATTAAAATATTACTCGATATGTTTCACAATGTTTTTATTATACACGGTGAAACTATAAAAGGTTAAGAAGTTAAGAATATTGTGAGATTACAAATCAAGGGATTAATTTGTGATTAATGATTAAACATCTACATAAGAGAAAAGTACCGGGGGTCTTGTTTATGTATGTTTTTGAAACACACTCTAGCTTTAAAAATTAGCAACGTATGTAAGAGTTATAAGTGATTATCTAAATTTAACATTATCTAAACAAAATTAGATTTTAGCCATAGTGTCCGTCTGGGCGAGTTCAGTTGTTAAAAATCGCTGTTTGGGAAAAACAAAATAAATAACTTATGAACAATTTGGTCGATCTATTTGAAATTTAGAACATTTTAATAACTCGTTCTTCTTCTTCTTACGGTGCCTTATCCTTAACGACGTTGTCCACTACATTTGCCCATTTAATCTTATTTGTAGCAGCTCTGAATAGTTCTATGGAGGTCATGTTCGTCCATTGCCGTAGGTTTTTAAGTCAAGAGTTGCGTCTTCTTCCTGGTCGTCTTTTGCTATTTACTTTGCCTTCGATTATAAGTTGGAGCAGTTCATATTTTTGATTTCTTATGATGTGACCAAAATATTGTGTTTTCCGTTCTTTTATTATAAGCATAAGCTCTCTCTCCCTATTCATCCTCCGCAAGACTTCCGCATTTGTCGTATGGCTCATGTAGGATATTCTGAGCATTTCACGGTAACACCAGAGTTCGAATGCTTGGATTCTTTTTTGTGTTGCTTCTGTCATCGTCCAGGCTTTAACACCATAGAGCAAGGTGGAGAAAACAAAGCACTTAAGTAGTCTAGTTCTCAATGAGATGCCCAGCTGGCGGTTGCATAGAACTTTTTGCATTTTGTAAAACATTGTACGTGCCTTTTCCAGGCGTATTCTTATCTCTAGTGAGTGGTCCCAAGTTTGTTGTTCTTGTTACTCTTTCCAGATCTGTTCCATCGACATTGACCTTCACCCTTCTGTTTTGGTGCTTGCTGATGACCATAGTTTTTGTCTTCTTTGTATTTAATTTCATTCCAAATTCTCTACAGGCTGTCGTCACTCGGTCCATTAAGCGTTGCAGGGCTTCAGAATTATCTGCCAGTATGACAGTCTCATCAGCATATCGCAGGTTATTTATACATTGCCCGTTTATTACCATCCGAGGTGCCTTCCAAAGCTTTCTGAAATATCTTCTCAGAGTCAACACTGAACAGCAAAGGTGATAGGACACATCCCTGTCCTACTCCCTTCTCGATATTGATTTTTTCAGATGTTTCACTTTTTATTTTGATTTAAGCCTTCTGTTCTTGGTGAAGGTTTGAAATGATCCTTAAGTCTTTATCGTCGATATTACATGACCTTAAAATATCTATTAGTTTATCATGCTTCACCAGGTCAAACGCCTTCTGGAAGTGTATAAAACACAAGTATACATCAGAATCGACATCTCTACATCTTTCAACTAGCACACGTATTGAAAAAAGTGCTTCTCTTGTTCCGAACCCATTCTTAAAACCAAACTGAGTTTGACCAGTGTGTTCGTCTAGTTTATTGTATACTCTATTGTGTATTACTCGTAGGAAAAGCTTTAACATATGATTCATCAGGCTAATAATCCTATGGTCTTCACATTTCTTGGAGTTTCTCTTCTTTGGTAGTGGTATAAACACCGATGTCAGCCAATCATTTGGTATTATGCCTGTTTCGTATATTTTGTTAAATATATCTTCCATTACTTCGATGTGTTCGTCTAGTAATATCTTTATTTTTTTAATTGGGATATTATCTTCCGCAACAGCTTTTAAGCCCCAATCTAAAAACTATTTTAAGTTCTACAATTTTTAGTTAAACTATTTTGAGGTAAACTGCATAAAAAACGTTTTATAAGCAAAAAAAAACAAAAACAATGTAAAATCAGATGTAGGTCTTTACGGATTTTTTATCATCTACCACTCATATACCTTTCAGAACCTTTAAATATATGTATAAGACTTTTACATTAAACCAATGATTTTTCCCAGATGAACTGGTGTAATTAAATACTTAGGTATTACCTAGTCGGGAATTTACAAATAAAATAGTTTCCCAAGTATAAAATATTATATTAAAAATATTATAAATAATATTAAATTATTTAATAATAAAAACATAAAACAACAAAACGTTTAATTTTCTGTATATTTTAACAAATTTATTTTCTTGTTCCAGACGTGCCATCTTAAGCAACCCAGATCTTCTCTCAAAAACTCCATGGGTCCGTCTTCTAGAAAACGACTTCTGGGGAACTCCACTGAGCGACAGCGGCTCTCACGGATCATACCGGCCCCTGTGCGTGCTAACGTTCCGTCTAAACTATCTTCTGGGAGGTTTCCAACCATGGGGCTACCACCTAGTCAACGTGCTCCTGCATTGCCTGGCCACAGTTCTTCTCATCCGAGTGGCCAGACTCATTTTACCAAAAGCAAAATCGTCAGTTGGCTCGATGGTGACGGGCTTGGTATTTGCGACCCATCCCATTCATACTGAAGCTGTGGCAGGAGTAGTAGGTCGAGCGGATTTAGCTGCGTGCAATTTTTATTTTTTATCGTTACTGGCTTACGTTGCACATGTTAGATGTAGAGATACACAGTATTGTCACCGATTCTGCAAGAAAAGTTCTGTGATGAAGTCAGATTCAAAGCAGTATCAGAAAATTGTATACGCGTTACATAAAAGTGTAACCAGCTGCAACTGGCCTAAAAGACAGTTAAGAGATTTAGAAAATACCGAACTCTCCTCTGTTAGTGTTGTTATGAAGAAACGAGATAATGTCCGTTCTTGTTGTTGGAAAAATAATTTAAAACTGTGGATTTATTTGGTTTTGTGTTTGCTTTTAGCCATCGCTGCTATGTTGAGCAAGGAGACTGGAATAACCGTACTGGGAATTTGTTTTGTGTATGATTTGGTGTACTGCATACCTAGCAGCAAGGTAAGATTTCTAAATAGTTTATGTTAAGATACATATAAGTTGTTTTTGAAATAATTTTTATCTACATATTTAGTTTGGCCATGTTTTTTTAACTAGCTACTTAAAGTTTTAATATTATTTAAAACTGTTTTTTTTTTAATTTTTATTAATGCCTCAACCACGCAAGGTCATTAGCGTATTTAGATTATGTAACATATGTGACAGTTGATACAATATGTAAATATACATTATTTTACAATAATAATTATAATAATAATAATATATATGTGTGTTCAAATGTACGTTTTAGATCTTTTGAAGAAGTTGACAGTCTTTAATATAGGAAAATATTTTTCGGTTATCTGTATTTTCTTCTAGGGCATCTCTTAGGCAGTTGGGTATGCTATATTTGAGTCGTTCACTGTTATATTTGGGACACTGTATTAAAAAATGTTTTACCGTTAGAACACTGTTGCACACTTCACACAATGGTTTGTTTTTGCGCTATAATAAATAGTCATGAGTAAGTCCACAGCCACCTTTACTTCCAAGCCATGAAATAAAAAAGGCAACACCGCATTCTATGACGTCAGTAGTCCGATAATCAGTTGTAAGGTCTACCAGAAAATTAAACTAATTTGAATTTTAGGAAACTGATATTTTGAAAACTTCAATTCATTACAGAAATATTTTTAAGGAAATTAAATTAATAAAACCTTATATTTACCTAATAAATATATATATATATATATATATATATATATATATATATATATATATATATATATATATATATAAAGTTTTATTATTATTTAGGTTATATTATCAATAAAATAATCACTAGAGTAAAATTTATTGCACTTAAAATACAGTGTCAAACAGTTAATCTTACAATCAAATGCAGTAATCTTACAATCAAAGAATCTCTAGAAATTTTAAATATTAAGTACTTAAGCATATAAATAACATAATACATTAACAAGACATTTCAAAAGATTATTAAAAATACAAAAGATATAAAATTTGTTCAGTAAAAACTTAGTGTAACTATTATGATTAAAAAATTCATCCTAAGAAATCAGACACAATATAAATATGGTTCTAAATTAATATAATTGAAAATTAAATATTTTACTATTTACTTATAACTTTTGTTGAATTTTCATACTTAGGTATACGAAAGTAGCAATTTTAAATATGAATAGGTTTTTTGTCATATAGACCAAGTTAAGAGAGGTATACATGAAAAATGTGTTGAATGTAACATACCATTTATAACTTGTATATCGATTTAAAATAGCCTATATTCTCAAAAGATTTTTGAATGTAATACTCAAATTTGTTATCACTTATCTTAAAAGCAGATCTAAATGAGAAAGTAAGTTCTCTTATTGTGACCATCTTGTTAATTTACTATATTGTAAAATTTATTTCAAATCATTACTACTTAATCTATTCTTACCTACATTGACGATTATACTAAAATTACTGCTAACTATTACACTATGTATTACATAAATATTATCACACTTGTGTCCCAACTAATTAATGTTTAATACATAGAAATATACACAGTCACTTGTAATTTTACTTGTCCAGTTTTTCAATGGGATATTATTGTCTAAGTCTAATTGTCATAATTATGTTATCTCTTGTTCTCTCTTCTTATGCAAAAAGTTTCTTCTGTCTTCGGGATTCCTTCTTTCTTTAGTACAATGAACAGTTACATATGATGGTACTTCAGGAAATATATTAGGAACTGCATTGCCTTTTAATTTGGAAAATATTAACTTTTTAATATGTACATTTCCATCTTTATCTTCGCATTGTTCAGTCCGCTGAATATCACCTTCATGAAAATGTTTGCCACATACTACGGAAGATTTGGTAGAGCATAAACCAGTATACCTTCTTTGGAGATCTTTGGGAAACGAAAATGTACTTTCTGCCTGTTTCGTTTTTAAAGTACTGGCATAATTGGTTTTGCAACCAGGTACACAACAATGCCAGAGCATCTGTAACAAAAACAAAAGTATTATTATTGTTGTTTTTAGTTTACATATTTTGTAACAAGAAGCAAAAGTATTATTATTTTCAGTTTGTTTTGTAGGTTATATTTATACTTGCCTTTTAAATTGTCGTTAAGAATCTTCTAAAAGTTCTAAATTTAATGAAATTTCACTTATATTAATATTTTGTAATTGATTCAAACACAATTTACAAATAAAACATTCGAATAAAGTTAAAAAAAAACACTAACTTCAACAAACTTTACAAGCCTTCCTATATGAAATGTTAAACAAAACAAACCACGGTCGGACTACCACGCATTGTTGCCAAATTTCTACTTCATGGCTTGGAAGTAAAGGTGGCTGTGGTAAGTCGAGCATGGCCGATACGGAGACGGGTAAGTATCACTTGCTTTCTTCTGTCTTTTATTGTTGGTTTCCAAAGATGTGGGTTTTTGTTGACTTCGTATAGCCTTGATAAAGTGTTGTTCCAAGTTTGTTGCCATTTTTGAATTATTTTTTGTTTTAAGTATGGTTTTAAATCGTTTTGTATCAATATGTTACTTTCTTCGGACATCGGGTTAGTTGGTGCGTTTTTAGCTAGTTTATCTACAGCTGCGTTACCTTTAATTCCTACATGAGAAGGCACCCATAAAAAGTGCACTTGGATGTTCTTATTAGAAATGTTTTTAAGTTCTTTTTTTAAAATAAAATAGAAGGGGGTTGTCACAGTATAATTGAGTCAGTGAGGATAATGAACAGTGGCAATTTGAAACTAACTGAGGTGTCTTCCGAATAAATTGCTGCTCCAACTCTGTCTTTATTTTTTGACGTATCGGTGTATACGTTGTAGGTATTGCCATATCTGTTTAATAGTGTATAAAACTTTTGTTTAATGACGGTTGATGATATCTCTGATTTTCTTTGGTTTGTTAGACTGATGTCGATAGCAGGAATAGATATTGTCCATGGTGCAGGTTTGTGGATTGATGAAGTATCATAGTTTTTTGGAAATTAAAAATTTAATTTGAATAAGTATGATTGTATACGAAAGTAAAAAGGATGATCAATTTGATGTGTTTGTTGAAATGTATTTGTAAATCGATCAGCAAAAACGTTATGCAATACTGGATTATTTCGGTTTAATGACACTGCCGCTGCATATTTTAGGCTTAGATATTGTCTTCTGAAAAAAAGGGGAAGTTCTCCACTTTCCCAATAGAGACTTTTAATGGGACTTGTATAGTGAGCACCTAAAGAAATACGTAGACATCTATTTTGGATAATATCCAGTGACTTCAAATGTGTCTTTTTGGAGGAGTTGTAGACGATGGCTTTATATCCAGTCAAGAGCAATATTAGTTTCAACTAGTTAAACGCAACGTGCCAAATAAGCCGCTGTGGAATTACATTTTTTTATAATGTCGGAATTTTTATTGGTAATAAAAAATATATCTGCTATTAAACGTTTCTAATTTTAAAAATGCCGAAAATTCAATAACAAACTAATCATTTAATGCAACCAAATACAATTTGAACGGAATTAATATTTGGACGGAAATTTTGTACGCTTAACTACGTTTAACATTTTTATCGCTGTTATTACCATAATATTTACTATTTTATTATACTACACATGAAAATAGCAGATACATTTTTTTTTCATTAACAATAATTTTTTAATATTCTCGTTTCAAAAGTGAATGTTTCGATTTTTTTTTCTTTTCAAATTTCTTTGTTGGTGATGCAGTGACCTGGATCTCAATATTATGTTAAATTTCTTATACCATGCGGTCCATATGTATGGAATAAATTCATTTTTAGCGTTATTATGTACTTTGTGAAAAAAAAACCTAAAACAGGTCGATTTATTTTCTTAAATTCACAATTTACGGTATAAAAATATTATCTAAATATTATTTATTTAACTTCTGAACCAACTGAACTTTGCAAAGGTGGTATTTTTCTTTATGCAAAACTCTCAAAATATTGATTTACTTATAACATTGACGGCGGCAAGTTTTAGAGACGTCTTATGGCAGATTTTTTCGATCTCTAGAAGTACATCTAACTTTTTTTATCAGTAAATTTAACATTTCTACTTGGTTTTTTAATATTTTTTACATGTCCAGTAAAACGAAACTTCTTTTTAATTTTGGTAACTGTACACTGCGACACTTGTTGAGCAGGGTATTTATTATTAAACATTACATAAAGCCCCTTTTAGGTTCTTGTTTTATTACCACAATCAATCATAATTTAAATGTCTATTCTTTGAGTCTCGGACAAAAATGAGCCATAATTAAATTTAATGCACACACAAATATTATACTGACGTCTTTTAGTAACTTTAAATACCTAAATGACAGCAGCCTACTACATTCATATCAATTGTTTATTTGGCTTTTTGACTAATATTTTGACTTTAACCCTAGAATACGGGTCATTCGTAAATTTGACGACGCTCAAAATACATTGGGCATTTTCGCCCACCCTCGTTTATTTTAACGATTTCCCCAATTGAGTACCTTCCTGATTAGTATCGAGTTTGATAGTGTCTTAGACGGTTGTTATAATTTCCAATTCTAAAACCATATTTTGTTACTTGGTTCGTAATTTTTACGAAAGTCCCGTGTTTACGTCACATAATAAATAAGCTGGTTCTTATTGTTTGTATTTTGATTTTGAGTATTTTAGTAACAAACAATTAGGGTAAATTTTTTTCCATTCTTATTACATAATATACTTTTTGAGTTTTTCTCATTAGGATGTCAAATAAAAAGTTTTTGTCCGCAAAAGAACTGGAGGAGGAAGCGGCACGTATTATGAATGGGGAAGACAGTGATCCAGACCCGTTTGAAGGTAGTAGTAGTGACTTGAAAGAGGACAATTTGAAAGCTGAATCCTCTGGCTCCGATAGCGAGGTTGATGCAACAATATCTCCAGATATCAATATATGATTAAGTTAAGCCTTTGTCTTGCAAAACCATGGATGCTAAACAGATACAACACTGCAAGTTTATGTCGAAATATTCGCCA